TATGGGGAACAGACAGAGGAATGCAAGGGGAATGGACGGGGGAATGTATGGGGAACAGACAGGGGAATGCTTAAAGAACACATGGGCAGGGGAATAGACACAGGAACGCATGAGGAATGAGTGAGGGAACAAAAACAGGGGAATGCATAGGGAATGGGCATGGAACACACAGAGGAACACTCAGAGGATTACATAGAGGGACACTTAGAGGAACACACAAGGGAACACTCAGAGGAACACACAAGGGAATACTCAGAGGAACACACAAGGGAACACTCAGAGGAACACACAGGGGAACACTCAGAGGAACACTCAGATTTACGACATTCTGGTGCCATATTCCCATCTGGGGAGCTGAAACCTGATCAGCATCCCACAGGCTCCATCTCCATGGCACCTCCTGCTAGCTACTGGCTGGAGTTTAAGGGGAACAGTGCTGCCAGCTGGGGGGCCTTGACCTGACTTCACCCCCATAGCTGTGCTGCACCCACCTTCACAGGGTCTGACTCAGATGGATCTGGAGGTGTGAGCTCAGAGGAGCACAGTACGGGTGCAAAGATGGGATATTACAGCTCAGTGAGCTGGGGGCACTGTATTAGTGACAAACACCCCACAGTGGTTGCAGGTTATTATTAAACCGGTGCAGGAATATAGCGCTGATTGAAACTGGCTGTAGCCCGACTCAAACAGGCATCCCGGTTACAGAGATACAGGCAGCCGCTACAGGCTTGGTCGTGGGGGACTGGGCCAAATGCGTCTCAGCTGGAGCCTGGTGACACTACAGAAGCACATGCATGAAAGGCAGGAAAAATGTGAAATCAATGCCATGATGCAGCCGCCCTCCTGTGTGGGACTGAGGATGCGCCTCCCTCCCGCAGGGCTCCTCCAGCTTACCCAGCTGCCGCTGCTTGTCCCGGCAGCCGCTGCTCAGCTTCTCCAGCTCCTGGTACTTCTGGGCCAGCTGCAGCTTGCCATTCTGCAGACACGGCCGCAGTGACAGGCTCTCCTCGGCCAGGCTGCGGTTGGTGGTGAGCAGGGTGTCCCGCGCCAAATGCATCTCCTGGAACTGGACACAGGGAAAGCGCTGTCAGCCTCTCTATGCGTGTCTGCCTGTGATCGGAAGGTTGCTGGTTTGAATCCCAGGGTCAGCAGAGTAGCCACATCTCCATTGGGCGCTTGAGTGAGGCTCAAAAATGCTCCAGGACCCCCAGAGAATGGCTGACCCTGTGCTCCCTCCCAGCTTCATCTTTATGTTTGTGAGTGTGTGTCCCAAAGGAGACCTAGATGAAATACAGTGGTACCTCCGAACTCAAACTTAATCTGTTCAGAACTCAGGTTCAAATCCTAAAAAGTTCTAGTTCTGATCGAATTGTCCCCATAAGAAATAATGGAAAACCAATTAATTGGTTCCTGGTCCCAAAAAATTACACCTAAATTTTTTTTTTTTTTTAGCATTTAAACACAAAATGAACAGGATAAAACAAGAAGAGCATATACTGTACTAAACACACACATCTAAGCACATTTATCAAAACAGTGATTTGTAAAGTAAGAAAATAAATGTATCCCAACAATGTGTAAAGTGTTTTGTTTTTTAAACGTGTCCTGCCCCGATCTTCCACTCATTCTGTGTGCCACGCCCCCTCGTTAACCTCGTGTGGAATCCCCGTGTGTCCCCGCTCGGCATGACAATATTATTGTAATTACCGTAAATGTATTAATGGTTTATTATTAATGATATTAAAATAATTAATAAGAAATCTTTATTTTTAAATGTATTTTATTATATAATAATAATTACTGTTACTGTCTATCATTGTCTAAATGTATTTTTGCTGTCTAAATATATGTATTCAGCTAGTGTAAACATGCACAGTGCTATCACAGCGAATGCTAGGCTGAGACTGAAGTGTTACCTTTTGTTTCTGCGGAGAGACGTGCTGCGTGACTCATTTCCCCGCGCATACAAGTTATCTTAGGTCAGCATTCACGGTTCGGCTTCTGAGATTAACATCGAGCTCTAGGTCTTTTTTTTTTTTTTTTACTGGTTGGTTCGACTTTTAAGAAATTTGAATTCTAATGAGTTTGAGTACTAAGGTACCACTGTATGAGGAAAAAACAGCGCCTTCACAACAAACATGCAAACTCTGGGAACCTGAGAACACAAAAGCAGTTTCCATTCTGCAGACACGGCCGCAGTGACAGGCTGTCCTCGGCCAGGCTGCGGTTGGTGGTGAGCAGGGTTAGTTAAGTTCTCCCCAAACGAGCTTGATGGGCCGAATGGCCTCCTCTCGTTTGTAAATTTCTTATGTTCTTATGTTCTTAAGTTAACATGAAGAACTTGTAACTAAAATCACAAAACCAAAGTCAGGGAAAACTGTCACTAATGGTGTTTTTCCGCTGCCACCAAGAACTGTGCTGAGAGTTTCACTCCAGGAGAACACATGGCCATAGACGAACAGCTGTACCCAACCCGCTTTTCCATTGCGCAGTATGCGAGCCATACCCGAGCTGTGCCCAAGCTGACACAGCCCAGCTTACTAGCAGGGCTGAAAGCGTGACCAAACTTAGCTGGCTGCGTCATCACTATCTGATTGGTCGAAATACGATGCACATCGTGATGCATTCCTGAAAACTGGAACGGATTCGTAGTGTAAATTAACATAAGCAAATGCTAATTCCGCTAGCGCTTCATGCAGCATATAAAGTGAACAGTATATAAGTGTCTCTTCGGTTTTGCATCACTTTCCAAACTCGGCAACGCCTTTCCGAACCAACTCTTCCACAGCAGAAAACTGAAACGAGCTGGAACCGTCGTGTGGTCACGGCACGGCTCGGGTACTGGTCTGTTCCTGTATGACAAAGGAAAAGCAGTATTACAGTGATTCTCTGTGTCAGATGCCCACATACTTGTCTTTTTGTCGTGTCTACACACGGGAAAAATCTCCAGAATAAGCGGATGTGCGCCACAGCATTAAGGCAGCGTTGCCGTCAAGGTCAAACCACAAGTGCCAGGAAATGCCAAAGTGGGGAGCTGTGATTATGAAATTCACAAGAATAAATGGGGGGCGGGGGGGCTTCAAGACTAGAGCGACTCCCAGCCTGACAGTTCAAGGCTGACAATGTTGTTTCCTGGTGGCTGTTATATCTTGATGGGCACGAGCAAGCAGAGAGAGAGCCACAACAGCTGGAAGACAAAAGCTGAGAGAATGACGGGGGATGACGGGGGACGATGGGGACACGTCAGCGCGCTTTCATATGATACGGAATGACGCGTCTGTCACGCAGCCATCAAACAGGAAATCAGAGCAAACGTCATTAGAGGGGCATCAGCAATGGGATCCTAATGGGAATGCTGTCACTGTCGCAGCTGATCCTGAGGAGCGACTGATCCTGTGGTGTGGCTGATCCTGAAGAGCAGGTGATCCTGCAGCGTGGCTGATCCTGAGAGGTGATCCTGCGGCGTGGCTGATCCTGAGGAGCAGGTGATCCTGCGGCGTGGTTGATCCTGAGGAGCAGGTGATCCTGCGGCGTGGTTGATCTTGAGGAGCGGCTGATCCTGCGGCGTGGCTGATCCTGAGGAGCGGCTGATCCTGCGGCGTGGCTGATCCTGAGGAGCGGCTGATCCTGCGGCGTGGCTGATCCTGAGGAGCAGGTGATCCTGCAGCGTGGCTGATCCTGCAGCGTGGCTGATCCTGCAGCGTGGCTGATCCTGCAGCGTGGCTGATCCTGCAGCGTGGCTGATCCTGCAGCAATGACAACGCCTGTAGCTGTGTTTCCTTGATGACTTGGCAACAACGGGGTGGCATTTTTACAGACTGATATGCGGGCGTTACTCCTGCCCAGAAGGGGAACTCCTCAGCAAATCCATCATACTTTCTGAAATCGATCTATGCATGATGATGATGATTTTCCTTGATTATTTGAGTCTAATTATGGGCTCAGTGGTCAGCCCTTTGGCTTCACACATCTAAGGTTCAATTTCCACCAGCCTGTGTGGCTCAGCGGGTGAGGGGTCCGTGTCTGTGGTCAGAAAGCCACAAGTTCAAATCCCAGCGTTGGCAGAGCGATGTTGCTGTTTTGCCTCTGAGCAAGACCCTTAACCCCCAATAGCTCCATTGGTTGGCAGCTTTCTCAATAATGTACTTCGCTTTGGATAAAAGCTTCTGCTAAATAAATGCAATGTTTCTCCTAGAGTAATGACATGTGGATTAGGTGAGCTGGCATCTCTAGATCAGCGCTAGTGAGAAAGCTTTTGCGTGAGGGTACGTCTGCTTTCTGGGCTGGCCTCCAGGTTCACTGCACTTGTCAAAAACAGATGGACTGATAGATTACTTTAATTAAATTTCCGCAACAAAAAAATAATCAGTTATATGATTTTCTCATAGACAGCAAAGGGAAATTGTTGGCAGTGTGAAAGCGTATGAAAATATCCACGGAATGAGAGCAGGGGCAGACATATTTACTTTCATCTTGGAGGAGAGCCCTGGGTCACAGAGCAGGTTTAACAGTGGGGACGAGGAAAACACAAGTTTATGAATCAGAGGCCCACTCTTCACAAAATTCATGCAGGGAGGCATTTCCCCCCCATCTCCCCGGAAAGCCGCAGACCCAAATGTTGATTTTGTGAGTGACTGTGCACGGGCAGGGAGCGATGTTTATGTCGGTGCGGGGCCCTGATTCCTGTTCCATGTGCAACACGGGGGACTGGAACCAGTCAATCTGCCACCAGATTCTCAGTCTGAGAGTATCTGCGAATCAGAGCCACGCTTTTAATGCCACAGAAATCTGCTTTCTTGTTTTTTTTTTTCTGTGACCCGAAGTTTGTTCTCGTTTTTCCGTTAAAAAGGCTTCCCTCAAAGCACATCTGCTTCAGCGACATATGAAAACTTACTCGCAGTGCGTCGCTGAGGAGACAGCCAAGGCGGGGCGACGGGGCCAGCTGTAAACCACCGAAACACAACAGAAGGCCGAGTCCAGATTCCACACCGCGGTCAATAAGGTTAAATGAGGTAAAAAAACATTGTCTATGAAGTAGACCCCAGCGGGGACAGGCTCTGGCAGACTCATACTCTCGTACCTCTTTGTAACTCTCATTTATGAGCTTGCTGATGGACTGAAGCTTGCAAAGCCTCCCTTTTCTGTGGCATTTGAGGCTTTTTTCACGTCACACTTCCATACTGTGACATCTGCTTGATCCACGACAGCTGCAGGAACCATTACACTAGGAAAGTCCGCTGAACCGGGTGGGTCACATAAAACACCATTGCTCCGTGTCTTATGGGACCCCTGCGTTACAGCATAACGTGGAAACTCCACATACAACGAAATCCGCCTCCTCGCATGTTCTACTCCACCAACCATCCTGTCTGTGCCTTGATACATGGAAGAATAATCCTTTTCACAAACTAGAAAGAGCCGCTATTAAAGCCCTCAAGCCCTCTGCATTGTCTAACGAGAGATATAATTACCCACTAAGAGCCCCAGAGGTTAATTAACACTTATCTGATTAAGCGTTTATAATGTCATGTTTCAGTCACAGAACTGAAAGTGCTCACGGTTATCTCAACCATCACGTTCAATAGCATGATTAATAACCTTATTTTATGGATAACATTTTAAGTGCCATTACTGTATATGAAGCTGAAAGCAGCCAACACTTTCATAATGAGTGACTAATAATAGATTATGTGAAATTATTTCATTTTAATTATGTGTTTTCTTATTAAACTTATTCAGTATAATTTGTGTTAAATTTCATGTGCACATACTTGTAAATCATCTTGAATTGTCATGCATGTTACATGCTTTTCAGGGGCACACCCAGCAAAACAAAATACTTATATGTTTAACATACAGGATCTTTCTGATTCTGATGTGAAAATGAATTCATTTTTGTAAACATTTTTTCCTGCTGCTCAAATTCACCTGCTTCCAAGTTGCACACAACAACCCAAAGCACCCAAAAAGCAGAAATGCAGACTGTGTTATGATCGCTGGTTGGCAAACAGGCAGACAGAGGAGTGGAGCCGTAAATACGGGCAAAAGGGGTTTATTGGGGGAATCCACAGAGTAGCGACAGACTAACATTAATGACGGATCTGGGAAAAACGGACTCAGACGCGGACTAAATACACAAGACTAGCCAAAATAACAGGACACAAGTGATCACAATCAGGAATTCACATGAGGTAAATGCGGGGGCGTGGCACACACGAGGATCGTACGAGCAGGTCATGACAGACTGGATGTTATTTCATTTCAGGAAAACTGGCCTTTTAAGCTAATTCTATCACCCATCGTAAAGTTGCTGTTCACACCAAACGTAAAAGAGTATCAGAGTGACTTCTGGCTTGGCTGTATCTTTACAGGTAATTAACGACGGCCTGAGTCACAGGAAAACCCCTTCGGGGAAAAACAAAACTCGGGGGCCATTGTTCTGAGAGTAACTTAAAACACGCAGGGCTGTCCCACCCCCTGGCAGGTCTGGGAGCTGAAAGCTTGATCGGGGAGGTGGGGTGCTTTGAGAATGCAAAGGTGAACAGCAAACATGCTATATTTATCCAGGAAGGTCCTGGAAAAAATGAGCTTTCTTATTACCAGTAAAAACATAGGGGTGCGTAGGGGGTGGTGGGGGGGGGCTTTACCCAGAGGCTTTAATTAAAGTTCTTCCGTACGCCATCAACCGATAACTAGGCAATACAGGTCTAACAACACTTCTTGTTTTCACAATGGCAGCTCTTACTCTGCTACGCTAATTTAGTGGCTCATGCGGGAAGGACAATCTGCCAGGGATCCTCACATCGGAGATGCTACGCAAGACATGCGAACTCCGGGAAAGGGGAAACAAACAAAAATGCACATTCTGTACTAACACACTGAGGGTCATTTCTTTTTGATCTTATTCATTTATGGCTGCTATACAAGTACAAAGCGTGAGCATGAATATTGTGTAGAGTAGCAGGCTGCAGCTGGAGGCTAGCTAACGCTTTGCAGCCACGAGTGAAGCTACTGGGCACTAAAGGCTGATTTATACTTCTGCGTAGAATCTATGCCGTCGGTTTGGCATAGGTATGCTGTAGCCTGATGTGCAATTCCCCAGAAATGTAACTACATGCTGCAACAACGCAGACCGCACAATCGCTAATGTCGCATTGTGTATACCGCCTTGTCTCAGAGCTTCAGGATGTTAAAGACTGACTCTGTTACGCCCGCGGCTTGAAATTTGCTATTTGTCTTTTTATTGCATTACGCCTGAACCAAATTACCGAATGATTCACTCCTCTGTAAAGCACCGTAAATCATATTAAGTACATTTTCATGCCACATTTTTTAGTCGATCTACATGTGAGATAAAAAAAAAATAGATCGCTTTCTTGCCAGAAGTGACAATATATGACTTGTGATTCTTTTACGACGTGGTAACAAATGCATTCATTTGAAACATATTGCTATCAGTTGTACAGATTGACATGATTGAAAATGTCATCATGGAAAAGGCCGTCTTATTAGCTATTGGCCTCCAGACAGAAACACTGATGCCAGATTTATCAGACAGATGCCCATTTGTGCTGTTATCGGAGTCCAACCTCCTGTTCCCGCCAACGGTACCCGGAAACGCTGTGGTGTGGCTGGCCAGGTCTTAAAATCCCATTTTTGTGTCTTCAGCGCAAATGAACCCAGAAAAGGCATGCAGGACACTCGATGAGAATAATCACACCGAGTTTCACACTGACTCGCCTCGGAGGCTTAAGCTGATCAGTGCTTGAGGCTCTGGGGCAGTTTCACTAATATTTATACCCATTTTCATTGCAGATGGAGGCCCATTCAACGTGCCCCAAAGCTGCAACCGATTTTGGCATCTGTGCACTGGGGTGTCCAAGTATCCCAGATCCCAGTTATCAGCATGCAGTTTGAGAAGATGCAGTGGTTTTTTACCATTATTATTCTCTGGAATTGAAGTATGACCATGAGTATACGAGGGCTGGGACCCACAGAAGGTGCCGAGTCCTGCTAATGCTTGCATTTCCCTGTCTCTCTGGGACAATCTACTTTGTAACCGAAAACAAATCCCATTTGCACAAGGGGCCGATTCTCAGCTGCTTACATGTCCTCTAAACAGGATTTAAGGAACAGAACTCTCCTGCCCCTGCAGCTCCGAACTCTGTGTATTCTCCACATGTTCGATCCCCCCTCAGGATTCTCCACTTGTCAGGAGCTCTTCTCCATAAACCCTCTGAGAGCAACGCGGATTTAGACATTTCAGCATGTCCAGGCAGCCAAGCGTCAGACCCAAAGGCGAAAGGGGAATTCACACAAAGTATTGCCTATATTCATAAAATGAGCCCTTATCCTATTTCCCAATTTGAAATACTGGTGCAAATATCATCTCATCTTACTTTCTTCTTATCAGCAGAAGTATGAAAATCAAAAACACAAAAAAATAAAGCATGTTTGTAAAGAAATAGATTAACAACAGCTTTCCATTCACTCTAAAAAACTTCATGGCCCGTGAAGTCACCTAGCATTTCCCAGCGAGCCGATGACATGCCTCTCTCACTCGGCTGCGCTCCCCGGAGTGTCATCAAGTGTCCCAGGAGTAAGCGGGCAGTAATAGGGACAGGCAGCACTGGCTGAAACTGCTCGCTTTGGACGCACCGGCCGCTGATGATACATCTGCCTTTAATTAAGAAGCTGAGCTGTTCAATGCAGCAGCCGGCCGTGGTTTCAGGGGACAGCATGTCCCGGGATTTTCATTCTAGTGTTCTGGAGAATTCCCACATTTTTTATCCAAGAAATATGCAGATTAACCACTTAGGCACACTGCACATTCACAGATCATCCAGCCATTCACTGTACGACCCACCGTGCAATACTATTCATTTATGAGCCATTACTACAGAATTCCATGCAATACTTCCTCTGACATTCTTCACACTGTTATAGTTAATTATTGTATATTACTTATTGTAACTGTTGACTGATGTCTGAATGATGGGGAGATGACAGAGGGATGACAGAGGAGTCAGGCTTACTGGAGGTAAAGCAGACACTGTGAGCATCCCTGAGGATCAGCGAGGCCCTGAGACCCCCAGATGTGCTCAGGTACATTCAGCCATATGGGAGCCACAGCCAGAAGCCAGAGTGTTTGGCCAGATTAACAGAGAGAGCACGGTCTGTGTCAGCCACACACACACGGTGATGTCCTGCCCTGAATTCCCAGCTGCAGCTGCTCTGCCAGTCAAACCCCCTTGGACCAGCGTCCCTATTCATCAGCCTCTATCTGCCTCTCAGATTTAAGTTCTGACTTTTCGCAATGGAAATTTCTAGAAGCAAAGATGGTACTATACTAATGAGAGTGAAAAAAGAGGGGAAAACCGAAGGCGGCACCGAAAGGGACAAACCAGAACACCTTAAACTTCTGATGTGGGGAACTTCTTAATTAGGAGGGTGAGAAGCCGGCCTTCCTGGTCCTGTGGTCCGTGCGGATCTGCTCCCACAGAGGAACCGCAAAATTCCCACAGAGGAACCGTAAAGTTTTCTGAGGAGCAAGCAGCCCCAAATGAAGTAGGTTTCAAATGTCCTGCCTGTGTCATCTGGACATATGCAAGCACACCCATCCATGGCCATTTCATATATATGTACATATATATATGTGTGTGTGTGTGTGTGTCTATATATAAAATATGTATATATATCCATGTATCATATATGTATATATGTTTATGAGAGAGAGAGAGAGAGAGAGAGAGAGAGAGAGAGAGCTAGGGATCATATAACGTGTTTGTGTCTTAAGCATTTACCGAGCGTCAGATTCATGAGCAGCTGACTATCCTGCTTTATGTCTTGCTTTAAGTTTACGCTGCCTCCCGTGGACGTTCAATAACTGTCTGTGTCCGAGCTGCTTTATGCTCCATACCCTTCCATGGCCATATCGTACCCAAACTGCCATGCATTTTGACGCATATACAGGCGCAAAGCTTGTATTTCACTCATGCCTTAGTGTTATATCTTCATTGATTTGCTTCAGGCAAATTTGGGGATGGACAAAAGCATGCAATCGCGGTGCGTACTTGTAACAACTATTACACTGTGACAACTAGTAACGTGTGTTAAATTGTAACATCCGCCACACACACACACACACACACACACACACACACACACAGACACACACAGTCAACCATCTCTTAATTCGTGTACGTCTAACAAATGTAAAATTATTAATGTTAAGCTGAACAGTTACTGCACTGGGATATGCGACGTCGGCCACGTTTATCAACGATCAGGGATCATTCAGCTGCCATGCAGCAACTATGCATGTGAAGAAAGCATTTGAAGTGGCTCGCCAAGAAAACTAACACCATGCATTACATTTCACAAAATACACAAACAGCAAGCGTCAATTACACTATTTCAGATAATAAAATTTAAATAACAACCTTTTCACTGAGTTTGACGATCTGATCAATTTTTCCTTCATCTTGCAAAAGATCCCGCAGTTCACTGGTGTTCAGGATCCTAAACCCATCTGGGTTGGAGTTCGGGTCCCGTTTGTGAGACATTGCGATCCGCTTCAGATGGCTCGGTTCACGGCCCGGTTAGGTATCATTCCGATCGCGTTGGGAAGCATGTACAGCCGCTTGGGGAGAGCCGTGTAGGAGCGGACCGCCGAGTGAGAACGGCACGCTGCTGTTGGCGGAGACAATGCGAGTGGCCGTGACACACTGCGCTCATGTGCGTGCTGTACCGCCAGCGACCAGGAGGGGGCGTGAACGTAAGAGCATTACACCAAGCATCATACAAAAACACGTTCATTTTTCATCTCGACAAGCGGTCCGTGATTTGAATTCTAATGTAACACATGATACCGGAATGTATATTACTTAAATAATAAGAACGAATCTACTTAAATGCACGTCATTGACGTCAAATATTACAGACATTGACTTTTAGTGAGTTTCTTTGCTCAAGAGTAATCTGAAATCTTACTTAATTCAGTTAAGTTTCACACCTAAAGAATTGACGTTTTTGTAATTTAACTACACTTCCCAGAGTCGCCACTTCCGACAGCTCATTCCTCTGAGGCGATTGGAGATAACGGAGGAAACGGAGGAAAGTAAAGTGCGATTCTATTGGTGCTTCGGCGTTAGTCGTCATTCTACTAAAAGAGGGGTTACGCTGAAAATGGCGGCGTTCTCTGGCGAAATATGGAGGAATGAGCTGACTAGGCACGACATTTTCACCAAATTGCGCGACAAGCTTAATGCGGAGCCCCAGGCTTGCGGCAGGAGATGTGCCAAAAACCTGACGTTTTGCCTGGACGGGGATTTTTTTGTGTGGAACGACGTGGACAGTGTGTTTTACACCACCAACCTGAGGCGACTGAACACGGAGAGCGCGGATGGCGCGAGGCACCAGGTTCGCGCGCCGGTTTGTCAGACACACAGCCGCGGAGAAACACGCTTACATTCCCGCTAGCTGTACTGTTTAGGTGTACCGTATCTGTTTTTTTGTCCTAAGTCAACCTGTATTTTTTTACGGCGCGAGGCGGCACGAAATTGGCACTCGAGCCACCGGAAAAAACCTCACACTTGTACATTCGGACAACTGTGGTGCTGAGGTATCACCCGCCACATGGCTGCACTCAGGTTCTCATCCCTGAGGTGGTTTGTCGTGTGGTGGGTGCGACAACGCACTGTGATCAGTGCATGCTCCTTACCTCTCATTTATATTAGCAGTCTGTGTAGTTTATACATGTGTCTTAGGTGGATTCAACCTCATATCGACTACGGCTCAGTAGTATGACGTTAATCAGTGCCAAACGAAAGAGCCCTGTGCTTTGCTGGGTGAAGGTGGTCTCCCTTTGTTGCGAGACCTTGCCTGCAGCAGCTACCAGAATCGCCTGAATCCTGGTGGCCCCGGCGTTTATCAGGGTTGCTAGCTTTGGTCAGCTAGCTGGCGTGAGATTTTCAGTTCCAGACAAGTTTGAAAACGCATTTGCCTGTATGTAACAGTTATATTATGTTGTAAATATTCTGAAGGGTTGGCAGACTACCCCATGCTTTTGATGTAGCTAATTTTAGGATTATAGTGGAATAATATAAGATTTCTTGCAGGAGCATTTAAGTCTGAAAGCGTGAGTGTCGCCAGATGCGTGAGAGCTGGCAATCCTGGGTTATGAGTTCAACTCCCAGCCTGTCATGCCGGACCCGCCTTTACTTTAGTTTCTCTAAACCAGGGGCAGCCCTTATACTCATTCTTCAGGAGTTCCTGTTACTCCATTTTCCAGGGCGTTTCAAGTGCTGTCCTTGGATTTAAGGGTGAAACCTATACTTAAATTGATGATAAACAGAAATGGTAGCAAAAATTAAATGTTAATGATATGCTGTTGACATCAACTGTGTTATATGAGTTGTCCCGGAGAGGTCTGGGTGGAAGTTAATATAGCAGATTGAAAGGGTTGTTATTTCTGATTTCCAAAGCCGAAATGAATTGTGGAAGATGGTTTTTTACAGAAGACAGTCATGTTCTATAGATCTTGTAGGTCTGATTACTGAAATAATGGCACCCCACTTTGATGAACCAATCGTGGGCTGCAAATGCACTGGCCTCTGCCTCTTTCCCATTAGACCCTGCTGTGCATCAACCCACCCCGGTTCGATGTGTGTGAGGTGCTGCTCAGCCCCACGCAGTACCATGTGGCCCTCATCGGCCGCCGCGGGGCCACAGTCCTGGAGCTGCCCCAGCGATGGGGCAAGAAGTCAGAGTTCGAGGGGGGGTGCAGCGAAATCAATTGCAAGTGAGTAATTTCCCCTGTCTCTCTACTTGTCATACCCCTGTTAATGGTCAGGTGACCCATTGATTTGTGATTGGGGGTGAATCTCAATACAAAGACTGCAAAGACCATACTTGTGGTCTTGGCAAGAACAGTCTTGCTAACTTGCCTTCCAAGAACCAACTTGCGGCATAATGAATCATGGGATTGGTCTCGTTCAGCAAGGATACTACCGATGTGTCCTTGATGTTTGAAGCGGAGCAAGACCAACATCTGGGGATATTTACTGTCCTCTGTACATGTTTTAGTATTGGAACTGGTCTTCAGCAATGGTAGATGACGTAAAACGGGTACACGAGAACACAAGTATAGACAAGTATGTATTATTGAAATTCACCTTGGCTCTCCACTTGTCACACTCCCTTTCAGGTCACTCATTGTCAGGTGACTCATTGATTTGTGATTTGGTGTTTATTTGAAATGGCACCATATTTTTTCTGGTCTGATGCTATACCGAATGCAATGCTTGTCAGAAAGTAGTTTTTCCATGAGTATACCCACCAGAGTTTTGTCAAGAGTTGGAGGTGGCATGAAATTCGACAGACAGCTGCCTTGTAATTCTCTGTCCAGGGAATAAACTAGGAATAAATAAGTATTACTGTATAGAAGCTGTGCAAAGATATTTTTATGCCATTGCTAAATACCTTATGGCTGAATTAATGCTATGATATTCTGTCATGTTGGTAGGGTTCTCACTGATTCTGAGATGGGCTAATAGTTTTTTTTTTTTTTTTTTTAAATCCTGCTTTTTTTTTAATTTATTTTTTTATTTTATAAATCTGGGTTGTGTAGCCAGCCCTGTATCTCAAAGCAGGATTTCTTGCTTGGCTGAATAACTTTTTAAAGTATTTAAGCCTGGATGCAGGCTAAAGCATTTGTGGTTGTAGCTCAAACTTGGAATGAGCTGCCTCTGCATATTCATCTGGCCCCAACATTTACGTTGAAAACCCGTCTTAAAACTCACTTTAATTCTTTGACTTTTAACTCTGCATAGGAGCTATTTTTTGTCTTTACTTTTACAATACTTTGGTTTGTTACTTGGGTCCTATCTTACAAATAGAACCTTCTCGGTGAATATAGGCACTTATTCCTCCTCTATTGTATCCATTACCTGCGGTGAGGCCCAAGGCTCTGTTTTTGGTCCTCTGCTCATTTCCTTTTATATGTTCCCCCTGGGAAATATACGACAAACCCACAATATCCGTAATCCACCATTTTTATGCTGATGTCAGTCCATTTAAAATGTGGTACCTTAAATCCGACATGAAATCCAGCTTTTTGAAATGGGTGTCCCGTTAACAGGCTGCACAAAATGGCATTTGGCTCTGCTCTCAGTGTTAAATTCCAAGAAACATTTTGGCTTTCTGAAGAAGGATGAAGATTTGTCATGCTGTTACCATGTCTAAAACTAGCGTGTTTCTATTATTACGGGTCTAAGAGAGCCATAGGTTAAGGTGGATCAAAGTGAAGTTTAGCACTCTTTCCCCCTGGAGGTAGTTCAGACACACTGCTGCTTAGAGGAAACACCTGTGATCCATGTGGCTTTCCTCCCATGGGATGCAAAGTTTAGTTAACTCTCACACTGAGCCAGAGGAAGGCATCACTCCCCTGCTCTATTGTCCCTGTTTTGCCCCCCCCCCCACCAGAACCCAGCCTGCCCATGTGACCGCCATGTTTCCTTCCCAGGACCATCCCCGTGGCCGAGCGCTTCTTCACTAGCTCCACCTCTGTCACCCTCCAGCAGGCTGCCTGGTACCCCAGTGAGACCGAGGAGCCCCACTTGGTGCTACTGACATCTGACAATACCCTCAGGTGAAGGCAGGGGGTGCCATCATGTTGCCATCTCCAGCTAACTCAGCTGGTTATCTTCCTGTGGCTGGCACCCCAGTTACCCCATACCTAATACCCTCAGAACCTTAAGGCTACATGTTTACCCCCTGGCCAGTACCCTGGAATTGACTGAATCCTTGGACACCTTTTGGACCACCTGGGAGTTCTCCTCTGCGCAGTACTCAGCTATCCTGCTGTGTTTGTGTGTATTTCCGGCAGATTCTACAGCCTGAAAGAGCCCCAGAGCCCAGCGCAGGTACTGCCTGTGTCCCAGTCTGATGAAGAGGGGGCCGTTCACACCAGGGGGTGAGTCTGCTTTGTATTATCATTATTTTTTCATACAAGTCGATATCAATAATTATCACAATTTTCTCTATGTCAAGGATCTGTTTTTGCTTAAAATTCCCTTTGGGTTCCCCTTAAGCAGATTCATAACATGAAAATGACCAATGGTAAACTGAAATTTTAGTTTTAATAAATAAATCGTACAAAAGATCTTTTTTGACTTGTGCTGTAATGCTAGAAAATGTTGACACTATTGTTTGCTTTTTTCTCTGACGTGCTTGTTGCTCGTTTAGAGGATGGGTTTGACATTGCTGTTAGTTGACATCCATCCCGTAATGAACAATAAAATGGTATGATCTGTTTCAATATGATACACGATTTGTCCCATATTTCTTCAGGCTGAAAGTGGAAACCCTAATGACTGGTGTCTTTGTGCTTGCATTATGTATGTTCTACTGGAGGGCAATATTTCAAGTGGTGGAATAAGTTGGTAGTATTTCCAGTTTTAGTTGGCACACTTTTCCAGAGAGTTTACAGTATTAAGGACCAGTCTTGCATATTGGACTTTAAACTGTCGCACCACCTACGTCTTGCTTTATCTACAAATTTTTCCTTTTTAAAATGAAGGTAGTGGCTGCTGAGATATCAGTTTCTTCACTGACACTTGAAGTTTCCTCTGAGGGAGTACTTATGTCTTTTGTGGTATTACCAAAACAGTATCATGTGCTGTGCTCTGCTAACTCAGTCAACCTTGATCTGCATGTGCTGGGCATAGGTCAT